TGAATGTTTGTCCGTGATTTGTGCATATCGAGATCCTCGTGGGTTCCAACATTCTCCTCTCGAATTGACGCCCGTTGTCGGTTACAATGGTATTCGGTACTCTGAACTGACATACAATGTTATTCCAAATGAAATCAACAACTTTTTGTTCATTTGTAGTGGCCAGCGGCTCAGCCTCCGCCCATTTGGTAAAATAATCCACAGCTACAATGGCAAACTTTACTCCTCCTTTGGCAGTCGGGAGTGGTCCGATCAGGTCGATTCCCCACTTAGCAAATGGCCAAGGACTGTAGATTGATTTAACTTCCTCGGGATGCTGGTTAACATTAAGAGCAAATACCGGGCATTTTGGGCATCGACGAACCCAATCGGCAACATCTGATTTAAGAGTCGGCCAGTAGTACCCTTGTCGTAGGATTTTATATGCTAGTGCTTGTGCTCCGGGATGAATCCCGCAAACGCCTTCATGGATTTCTTCCAGAATGCGTTTAGATTCTCGTTCATTCAAGCATCTTAACAAAGGGAGTGAATAACCTCTTTTATAAAGCACATTGTTGTCAAGAGTGAAGCGAGCTGCTCGGGTACGAAGAGATCGGGCTTCAATGGAGCTTTCAGGTAAGGCCCCACTCTTCAAATAGGAAATGATGGGATCCATCCAAGTCGGGTTAACTTTGAGTATTCCTTTCGATGTTCATAATGACTTTGGTGGATATGGACGACTTTTTCTGTTGGTTGATCTGGACATATTCGATGTTGTCCACACCAGTATTTGCTGCGAGTCTCGAAAGAGCATCAACTTGCATGTTAGAAGATCGTGGTATATCCTCTATTTATGCCCCAAGTTTGGTACGTTCATGGATTCCGACAGATTAAGACCACAGATCAGAGCTTCATATTCTGCCTCGTTATTAGTTGTTGGAAACAGGAACTTGACGGAGTGACAAAAAACATGATTCTCTGGGCTAGTGAGGACTATGCCGCCTCCGGATCGCTGGGTAGTAGAGGACCCATCAACATGTAGAGTCCATGTTTGGTTGTTTTCCACTGATTCAATAGCTGGGGTAAATTCGGCGATGAAGTCGGACAAGGCTTGAGCTTTGATGGCCGTCCTCGGTTTGTATTGTATGTCGAATTGCCCGAGTTCAACAGCCCACTTGACCATTCTGCCTGAGGTATCGGGTCGATGTAGAATTTGTCTCAGTGGATACGAAGTAAGTACAATAACGGTATGTTCTAAAAAATAAGGTCATAATTTTCGTGCAGCAGTCACTAGAGCGAATGTAAGTTTTTCCATGGGGGAATACCGGATTTCGGCGTCATGTATGGCCTTACTAATATAATAGATAGGTGCTTGCTGGTGTTCTTCTTCTCGGATAAGGACGTCGCTGACTGCGGCTTCGCTCACTCCCAAACAAAGGTATAATATTTCGTCAGGTATCGGTTTTTGTAGGGTTGGAGGGGAAGTAAGCACTTCTTTAATGTTAACTAAGGCCCGTTGACACTAGTTAGTCCATTCGAACTGTTTTCCTTTCTTGATGACGTCGAAAAAGGGTTTGCAATGATCCGTCGACTTTGAAATAAATCTGTCCAGTGCGGCAAGTCGGCCAGTGAAGGCTTGTACAACTTTAATCGACTTCGGTGGTTCGAGATCAAGAATAGCCTGGATCTTCGTAGGATTGGCTTCTATGCCTCTTTGACTGACCATATATCCTAGGAACTTACCGGAACTAATTCCAAACGTGCATTACTTCGGGTTTAAAACCATGGAGTATTCTCTAAGGATATTGAACATGCCGCGCAAGTGGCTCACGTGATCCACAACATGGACCGATTTCATCAACATATCGTCAATGTATACTTCCATAGTGTTACCGATATGTGCGGCAAACATTTTGTTAACCAGCCTTTGGTATGTGGCCCCAGCATTTTTCAGGCCGAAAGTCATCATAGTGTAACAGTATAAGCCTCGGGCTGAATAAAAGGAAGTATGTTCAGCGTCATCCGGGTGCATGGGAATTTGATTATACCCAGAATAGGCATCCATGAAACTCATAATTTCATGCCCTGATGTTGCATCCACCATGTAGTCAATATGTGGCAAAGGATAACTGTCTTTGGGGCAGGCTTCATTTAAGTCGAAAAAATCGATGCATAGGCGCCATAGGCTGTTGCTTTTCTTAACCAGCACGGGATTTCTTACCCATGTCGGATATTTTGCTTCTTTGATGAATTTATTGTCAATGAGCTTTTTAACTTCTTCTTCAAAAGCCTTCTGTCGCTCGGGTCCAAGTTTTCGACGTTTCTGAATAACCGATTTCACAGTTTTTTCAAGATTTAAATGATGACATGCCACATTTGGGTCTATTCTTTTTATATCTTCATGTCTCCAAGCGAAAACATCGGGGTTCTCTCGAAGGAATTGAATGAGTTGACTTCGAACGGGCTCTTGGAAATTAGCCCCGGTTCTGACCGACTTGGAACATGTCGGTTCATCAATGAAAACAGTGTTGATATCTTCAATAGGTTCGACTTGTTCATATTTTTTTATTTTCTTTGAATAATATAAAGGGGGTCCAAGTCGTCTTCTCCCTTGATTGGTTCTTTCCCGGATCGCCTTCCACGATCTTGGGTGAGGTCATGTCCACTAATATTGCAGAGGACCGAGGTGATCTCTGTCTCCAAAGTTAGAACCTATGATTCTGCCCCTTCGTAAGGACGAGGCGATACGTCACTTTCCGGTATGGCTTGACTCGAGGATCCTCCAGCAATACTGGAATCGACACTCGAATTCTTCATCATATGAATCTCTCGAGACGGAGTTGACAAAGATAGTTATCGGGCTTCCTGTTGGTCTCCGTAATGAGTTCCTTCTCCATTCACAGTAGGGAATTTTATGGCATAATGAAAAATCGACACTGCGGCTCAAAGCTTGTAGAGAGCTGTTCTACCGATTAGAGCATTGTATTCATTCTTTATATCCATGATTTTAAAGGTCTCCATAGTGACCTTCGAAACCGATCCAGGAGTTTCGAAGCGAACTGGGAGAGTGATTTCTCCAATTGGTCGAGCGACACTTCCATTAAATCCTTGAATGCGATCATCACAGGGTTTAATTTTGGTTGGGTCCATCCCTATTTTTTCAAATGCTTGGTACATTAGAATGCTCGAATAGGCCCCAGTATCAATAAGAATACGATGAACGGGTATATCCCCGATTAAGGCTGTGACGATCAAGGCATCAGAGTGAGGATGTACGAATCGATTAGCGTCTTGACTGTGAAGGTTACGGGGCAATTACGAGAGTTTATAGTATCTCGTAAGTCGGTAGTTTTAACTCATTTTCCCAAGTTCTGGGCTTCTCGGGCCCATGCTTTTGCTTGACGATGTGAAGGAGTCGGTCTCCCATCGTTAGTATTGACCCGAGGGATACAACTAGTTGGAGTAGAGGAAGTGGAGGGTAAACCGAGACGAATTCTTTTAACGGACCCGTCCTTCAAACTTTCCGAGGTGAAGGTTAAAACTTCTTTATCGCCTGGGAAAATTCGCTTGGGATTTACTTCTTCTTCTTCATCATCGTCAGGGATGTCAGTTGGCCTTCCTCTGCGTTTAAAATCGGGATTTTCTGGCAAATTTCCAAACTTGCAGGTTTCCAATTAATCTCAACAGGACCAACAATATGCTTAAACATTCATCGGTATTATGCCCGGGGTATTTATGATAGCCACAATATTTGGACTTGTCCACCTGATCTTCAGGAGTTCTGATCGGTCGGGGATCAGGAATGATTCCTTTTCCCTTAAGCTCCTCAAATATGGTTGCGGCCCCGACATAATAAATGGTATGATAACCTGGCCTCAAGTCTTCAGCGTATTGTCTCTTCGCCATTCGCACTTCAGGATCTGTTGGGCCTTCCCTTGTTAGCCCTTTAAACTGAGGTTTTCCAAATCTTCCACCAGCGAACTTTTTATCCTTCTTTTTTATGTCGGTTTCCAGGACTGTCTCCTTGGGGGCAAGCTGAAGTTCGGAACCGACATGGATTCCTTAGCAATTATGTGTTGTTGTGCTTGTGCAAGAAACTTTTGAAAATTACTAGGCATATTTTGGCATAGTGTCCACCGAAAAAGAGAATTCCGTCTCAGGCCGGAAATAGCAGTAACTAGGAGTGTTTCAGGGTGACATCCACATGACCATCGCTCGCTCTTTTCCCAGGAGGGGTTCCGAAGTTAATTCCGAGGCCAGAGGCGAGTCGGTTTCCACATCCACATGCGCTGAGGTGGAATCACGGCGCCCGTGAGCATCGCTCGCTCTTTGTCGAGTTTCCAAGTCGGCCACCTTTCTCCTAAGCATCCCAAGCTCAAGAGATTCATGCCGTGCGAGGAGATTTTGTTCGATCCGCTGTCGCAAGTCAGTTCGCCTCGCAGGTTGAGACAATAACAGAACAGTGATAGGATTTACCAAATTTTCCTGCAGTCGAGCCGAATGACTTTCGGCTGTTTGTTCGTGCAAGTGGGCTTCTGGTGGGATCACGTCAGCTTGAAAGGGAGCATTTGTTTGAATCACGGGTCCCTCTTTCTGTGGTTGATGGATGTCTTGACGAGGGTGAGAGGTTGCATGGGACTGTGCAACCCCACCCTGAGGACGGACAGGTTGGTTTGATTTGGAAGGTTGAACGGGATTTGCCTGTGAGGCCCCAGGAATGGTGTGAGCCATCAAAGTGGTAAATCCTTTGACAAATTCAGGATTCTGAAACAAGACGTTATAGTCCGGAAGTACTGGTATTGCAGCTGGTTGTGCAGTAGATTTCGCAACATTATGGGTTTGTACAGCTCGTGAGGTTTGCTCAGATTGGGACATGTTGGATGAGACAATGATAATATTGTGTTAAACGGATTATAGCACAAGACATATACAGCTCTGTCGAAGATTGACCTCAAACAGGATATGAGCCCCTCTGAAATTTAACAACCACAATGTGTGTAATTAAAACAAGGAAAACTTCTTTGTTGATATTGAGATTATTTTTTTCGTATACAAGATGTCGGTTTTATGAAGTAACCGAGATAGTATATTTGAGTATCGAGAATTCGATCGATCTATTACAGTAAATGCTGCTATTTATAGTAGCAGAAATTTTGAATTTTTATATGAGGTAGATAGAATCGCATTTAATGCAGGTCTCCTTTATGATGCGGTGGCTCGATCATCAAGGAAGGTGTAATAATTATACTTGTGGACTCGGTCCAATCAGAGTGGCGCTTAGTCACCTGCTCTGGGAATTAATCAAGTCGGTTTTCGGTGCGTGAACAAAGAAGTCGGGGGTTCCATACAGAGTCGGAAAATAGTGGTTATCTCGGGGAGTTGATCTAACCAATTCATTTTATTATTAATGAGGAGTAATTTAAGTCAGTTGTTAGCAGCTAAATAAAAGGAACTTATCTGATTGGGATGTGAAATGAATGTGCTGAAGTCCAACATCCATGAAATGAATGTGCTAAAGTCGGGGCTCGAAATGAATGTGCTAAAGTCCAACATCTACTTGGCCGGAGTCAAAGAGAACAATCGGGTCACCATTCTAGACAACACTAATTTACAAAGTGGTCCAATGCCTTTCCGTTACCTAGGTGTTCTCTTCACCGTGGAGCGAATCACCGGTCGGCTCTTTGATGATATGATCAACCAAATTGAGAGTCAACTTAGTCGGTGGGGTAGTCACACGCTCTCTTATGCCGGAAGATTGGAACTTATACGCTTGGTAATCCAAGGCATTGAGTGCTTTTGGATGGGTATCTTCCATTTGCCCGGTGTTGTGCGAACTAGGGCTGAGTATGGAACTCGGAGAATTCCGAACCGTTCTGAAAATCGAACCGAAATCACTCCGAACCGAAAAATAACCGTTGACCGTCTAACTTTCTTCGAACCGAACCAAACCGAAAAAATAATTGGTACGATTTTGGAGATTTCACAAATATCCGTACCGAGAACCGAACCGAACTGTCTCATATCGTACCGAACCGAAGAACCGAATTATAACATTAGATTTGTTATTAATATATTTTATATCACCTTTGATCCTTTATAATATAGTAATAATAACTATTAACCTTCACTTATCTTTCATGTTTAGTAATACTTGATCTACAAATGAATTTTTTCTATTATAAAATAATTATTTGAAATAATATGAAGGTTAAAGAATTTTTTTTAGAAAAAAATATTATATTTTTTTTGAATTTTAAATTTCTAATATTAGTTGCACAAATTTAGTCTTAACTAAAATTTAGAGTTGATTTCAAAATAAAATTTTTAATATGAAGAAGTATTGATGAATGTTGGTTTTATTAAAGCATATAAAAATTAAGGGTAAAATACTTTTTCCCATCCGAACTATCACCGTTATGACGCATCACCATATAAACTATTTTTTTTTTTACAAACCACCATATGAACTATACGGGTTTGTCAATGTGCCCCCTAAACCGGATATAAAAGTGGTTTAGGGGGCACATTGACAAACCCGTGATAGTTCATATGGTGGTTTGTAAAAGTATTTAGGGGGCACATATGGTGACCAAACAGTTTTTTCAGACAAAACCACTTTTATATTTGGTTTAGGGGGCACATTGACAAACCTGTATAGTTCATATGGTGGTTTGTAAAAAAAAAAAAAAATAGTTTATATGGTGATGCGCCAAAACCGTGATAGTTCGGATGGGAAAAAGTATTTTACCCAAAAATTAAATAACTAAAATTTAGAGTTACTTCTAAAATTGATTTCAAAATAAAATCTTCAACATGATGAATTATTGATGAATGTTGTTTTTTAAAGCATATAAAAATTAAAATATAACTAGGTAGTCATTAAAAAAAAATCTAAAAAAATAAGAAATTCCGAAGATCCGAACCAAACCATACTGAACTGTACCGTCCCAATAGTCCCGAATACCGAACTGTACCGTCCCAGTAGTCCCGAATACCAAACCGAACCGAACCAAAAGATAAAAATCTCCGAACCGGACCGAACCGTCTTTTTGGTACGGTTCTGGAGATCGAATTTTGGGATCTCCGAACTTTGGTACGGTTCTGGAGATTTATCAATCTCCGAACCGTACCGACCCACGCTCACCCCTAGTGTGAACCAAAATCATCCAATTTTGTAGAAGGTTCTTATGGGGCTCGAAAAGTGCTCCCGTGGCATGGGATAGTTTGTGCTTACCACGATCGGAAGGTGGATTGGAACACCGGGACTTGGAAGCTTGGAACCAAGCGTTACTCACCCGGACGCTTTGGAACATGCAAGCCAAGAAGGACACCATTTGGTACAAATGGATTCATAACATTTATTTGGAGGGTAGATCCATTTGGGATTGGCAAATTGGCACGAAAGACCCACCTCTCTCCAAGTCTCTTTTTGAAATCCGACAAGGCTTGGTTGAAAGAGCGGGAAGTGAACGAGGAGCGGAAGCCT